TTATTATCTTATTTAAAGGTTTTATCTTTTTTTATAAAGTTTATAAATAATATAATGATTCTATTATAATCTTTAATAAACTTTTGATAAAAGTTAAAGAATTTTAAAAAAATTTTAACTTTTTTAACTATAGTTGATTCTAGCCATTTTTAGATAGTTTGAATTTTACTTTCTTATATATTGATTTATTCTAGTTTTATTATATAATTAAAGAAATCGACTTTTATAATATAAAATATACTTTTTTTAAGGTTTATTAATAGATTAGCTTTTTATAGTTTTATTAATATTTAGTATATATATATTTAATACTATTTAAATATTCTTAAATATATTAAAATATTGTCTAAATAGATAATAATAAAAATATTTAAAAACTTTTATAAAATATAATTAATTATAGCTTAGAATTAGCTAATATATTAGTTAATCTAAAAAATATAATTAAATATTTATAATATTTATATTATATATAAAATATTATTTTCTATTTATCTTTATTTTTAATTTTAATTAGATTATATAATCTATCCTAGTATATCTTAGAATAAACTATTAAAGCTAGATTAGCTATTTTTAAATTAAGTAAAAGTTATCTAATAAAGTATAAGATAGAATATTAAGGAATTATCAAATATTTGAGTATAAATAGTATATAATCTTTAAAACTAAAGAATAGTATAATTAATAGTATTTATAATCAATATAAATAAAAAATATAATATATATAAAAAGCTGGCAAAACTTATTATAACTTATTATATAATAATTAAATATTTTTAACTTAAAAAAGAAAGAACTTTTATATACTAAATAGATAGAAAATCAGACATTATATAATATGATTAAGAAACAAATATATTAATATATAAAAATAATAAAACTTAAAGAAATTAATTAAGAATTAAAAAATATATAATAAATTATATTTAAACAATATATTCGAAAAACTAGTTAGAAAATAGTTGGCAAAATATCTAAGAAATTATAAGAATTTATAAGCTATATTAAAATCTGCTAATATATTAAACAAAAAACTTAAAAAGATTCTAATTTAACTTAAGATTAAAAATAAAGCTAAAAAAAAAATAAGATAAATACTTAAATAAACAAATCATTAATATTATAAAAATAATATAAAATGGAAACAATAAAGAAAAACTATCTTTACTATTAGTATAAACACTTAAATAACTAAAGAATTAAATTTTAAATATAATTAGTAAAGAAATTAAAATAATAAATATCTTTAAAACCTATAAATAATATTAGAATTAATAGTAAAGAAGTTTACTAATTCTCTAAATTATTAAGAAATATAGAAAAGATTTAAAAAAAGAATCGTTTTAATTATAAAGAGACTATAAAAAGAAAATAGTAAAATTAGGTTTTTATAAAGTCTAAAGATATAAGGAGATTATTTATATATTAAGATAAATTTTAAAGGATATAATATTATTATAATTATAAATTATAGAATATAAGAAAATTATATATTATTAATACTTATTAACAAATATTATCTAAAATAAAGATATAAGAAAGATTTTTATAATCTTATAATAGCTAATAAAGAAAAAGTTATCTATAATAAAAAAATAGTTAATAAAAGAATAAAGAAATTATAAATAAAAATATAAAGAAAATAAGAAAGAATCTGATTTAATATAATAGATTTTATTAAATACTTAATATTATTAAGATTATTATAGTTTAAGAAAAATAATCTTTAAATTAATTAGATTAATAGTTATTTATATTAAGAAAGTAATATACCTTTATAAAATTTATTAATATTTAAGAAAGAATGATAATTATAAATTATTAGATAAGAATTTTAATAGAATTTAACTAATAAAAAGAATATAATAATCTTAATATTCTTAAGTAAGCTTAAAAAAACTATTAATATATTAAATACTAATATTAAATTATAAAAATAAATAATAATATTTATAATTAATAAAAAAAAAGAATAATTATAAAATATTCTAAAAGAATATTAAGTATATATTAAGCTATTTATAAAAGAAATTAAAGATAAGCTTATTATAATATAGTAAATAAGACTATAAAATACTCTTTAAAGAAAAAATATAATCAAAGTTTTATAAAATATATAAACTTGATAAAGTTAAACTAAAAGTATTTTAAAAATACTTAGATAAAAACCTTAGGAAAGAATATATTAGATTATCTATATTGTCGGCTAGATATTTAATTTTATTCATACTAAAAAAAGAAAGTAAGCTATATTTATATATAGATTATAGATAGTTTAATAATATTATAATAAAAAACTATTATCTACTACTTTTAACATTAGAATTATAATATTCTATCTTTACTTTTCTTAATACTTATATGATTAGTTTATTAGTATATTTTCTTAAAAAAAGGTTATTTTTTATTTTCTTTACTATATATAATATATATTAATCGTAGATATATATTATCTATAATAAAATATAATAATCTAGATTTTGATAGTCTAATAAAGAATTTTCTCTAAATATTATTAAGGTCTTTAATTAGCTAGCTTATTTTTAGTATACTTAATATATTATAACTTTTGTTAATATAATCTTATTGTTAAGTCTATAGAATATTAGATATAATATATATCTATTATTAGTTTCTAACTTATAAACTAATGATAGTATTTCTTTACTTATAAGTTTTAATAATAGTATAATCTTTTTAAATAATATTTCTTTTATATATACTAATATACTATTTTCTATACTAAGGGTTTTATCTTATAACTAAAATTCTAATTTACTATCTTTAGCTATATTTATACTATAAATTTATTATATTTTCTTATAATTATATTAAAATAATATAATATTAGTCTTTTATTTTGATAGTTTAGAATATTATCTAATATTTTCTTTATTTAATTTATATTCTTTATACTTATCATTATAATAGTATATTTAGCTAAAGATATTATATAATATTATATTTATTTACTATTTAGATTCTATAAGTTATTTAAATTCTTTATATTCTTAAATATAAAATTTTTTTTATTATAATTATAATATTATATATCCTTTTTATCTTAAATTCTCTTTTATTATTTTTTTCTAAAATATATTAATTTTTATAAGTCTTAAGTAATACTTATAAGCTATACTTTATAACTTATTATTATATTATATTTACTTTTTATTATTAGCTTAATATACTAGCTTTAATGTTTAGTTTTTATAAGATTTTTTCTTAAAATATTCTTTAAATAATCGATTGTTAATTTATATAATTATTTTTATATATTTAGAAAATTTATTTAATTAATCTTATTTAGCTAACTTATCTTTAATATTATCTTTTAGTCTTAAATAAAAAACTATTATAAAAAGATTGTTTAATTAATTTAGTTTTAATAAAATTTATTAAAATTTTAATATATATTCTAATATTAATTTTTTTATCTAAAGATTATAAGCTTTTACTTAATAGTTTATTTTTTATTTAAGTTTCTAAAGGCTACTTTAATAGCTTCTTTAAATTTATTATAATTTTTAAAGATTTTCTTAGTTTTATTTTTTTTTATTTTTTAGTTTATTATTTTTAAGATAATCTTAAAGTATTAGCTTAAACTAATTAAAAGTATCTTTTATAAGTAGGTTAATAGTAAAGAATACTTTATTATATTTATAAGTTAGTTCTTCTTTATAATATTATATATATATTTTAAGTTAAGTTAAGAATCTTTAGAATATTCTTTTTATTTTATTATAAAAGTTAGATTTCTTAATCTTTACTTAGCTTAATCTTTCTTTTAATACTTTCTTTTAATACTTTCTTTTAAAATTATATAATTATAGCTTATAGTTAAGCTATTTTATTGATTATATTTTATTAAATGATAGTTTTAACTATTAAGCTTAATTAAGATAGATTATTTAAAGAGTTTAAGATTGATAAGATAGTAGTAGATATTATCTTAATTATTTAGTTATTATTTATAAGATATATTATCAATTTATTAAATAAAAGCTTTCAATATATAATAATCCTTTCTATCAATATGTTGATAGATAATTAAGAATCTTTAGATTTATATTCTAAGATAAATTAAAGAATATTTAAACAATATTTATAAAAATAAATGATTATAATTAGTTAGGTTTAATTGATTATAAAATCAAACTATAATATTAAAAGCTAAAAAGCTAGTCTCTTCATCTTTAGGCTTATGATTATAAGTATAGTCTTATATAAAACTATAGTATATTATAGCTTACTACTGCTTACAGCGGCTTACTGATCCATAAGCGACTCCTGATGAGCCGGTCTTATCTTATCTACACGTGACTTAATTTCTGTGAATGCCTGCCGTGGGGTTCCTGACGGCGGCCTGATTTCTGGCCGTGACATAAGTGAGTATCAAATTCATTATACTATATCAAGGAAAGACAATGAAGACCTATAGGAAACATAAGGCGAATACGATGTTTATAGAAGGGTAGGAATAACCTACCCTACAGTTATAAGAGTTATATTAATGTAGACAGTCGGCTGTTATCTAGAGTTAATTCTTCTAGATATTATAGCCTGTAGGTATACATTGTCGAATGAATCTTTCTGCCTAGATCTTAGCTGTTATAGAGAACACTATTGATGGTAATGAATCGAAGTAAGAGATCTTATATTATACTGTTATGAATTACAAGTGTAGTCTAGTCTTAGCGAAGAGCTATAAGACTGTAGAACGGTCTAGAAGATGCAACTCTAGGCGATAGGAGACAAATAGTAGTACCAACGCCGAGACAAGTCTCCTTTGGTTGATTTTTCTTATTTACTTTCATTTCGAGTTTACATTCATAGGCTATTATATTATTAGATAATATAGACGTAGGTATCATGGGTCACTATAAGAATACCAGAATCAATCGTCGTCTATGTTTTAGCCACTGTGCATCGCAGGTCTACATATCACTTGATAGGCTCTTATTTATATTTAACGACGAGCGAATAATAACTACACTCTATTTCAGATCCTTGCAGCTCTTGGGCTTCTGCAATGCTCGCTTAAGCTGAGCCTTGAACTTGCGCTCGTCAACCTTGACAACCATGTTAACCTCCCGGAGTTTCTGCCTCGAAGGCAATAGAGCTTCCTGATATGCGTAGATCCTTCCATACATAGGGCTGAAATATGACGTGTCGACATCTACATAAACTTCAAGCTGTTAGTCAAAGTCTAGGATGACGGGCAAAGTTCTTACAGAATGTTGAGTTCTTCACATTCTTGGCATCGAGCACAGAGAACATGGCAATCTCGTCCCAGAACGGAAGAAAGGTGCCATAGTAGTTGTATACCAGTTCAGTGTACGGATTCTTCACTTCGTAGATCTCGTCGAGAAGGGCCTGGCTCGGGAAGATCTGATTGGCTGCGTTTCCCACGATGGCTACATCGATTAGCTTTTCCCAAACTTAGTTTCAGATGTAACCTACTAATATTAGGGAAGTCAGCCTGGAGGGCTATCTTATTGGCGATTGGATCGGTGATAAAGTTGATCTGCGATGATTAGTACCACCACAAACCGAAAGGATTCGTCGAACGCACATCAGAATTAATATCAGCTTGCAGAGTCGACCCAGAGGTCTGAAGAAGGTTCACATCGATATATCCGCCCATAATGACAAGTCCTTTGGTCAGGCTGGCAAACTTGGAGTCCATCCTGATAGCGAGAGCGATGTTGGTGAGAGCCCCACCAGAGTAGATCATGACCTCCCCAGGGTACTTATTGACCTGTTCAACCATCCATGCTGCAGCGTGGTAGCCGCTGAGTGTTCCATTCGGATAGCCCTCCAAGAATGCCGACTTTGCAATCCGGTTAGGATTTCCAGAAGTTGGGTCTGATCCGGTCGCCTCTGCGGTAACGTTCATTGGCTTGAATACTCCTTCCCAAGGTAGAGTGCCAAACATTTCCTCCCACGCCTGAATAAGCTCCGGTGTGTTGATGAAAGGGTAGTCCGCCCCCTTATGTACTGGAATACAGGATGAAAGATTTCCAACTTCTAGGGTTGCCAGACCATGGAGACTGGTTTGGAGTGCCCAGGAATTAGCAGTGTCTCCAACGAGTCCCAGGACCTCCCAGCCCTGGTCGAGCGCCAACAGATACGGTATGAAACCAGCCGTGGACCAGTCATTGTCAAGAATTATCTTCACTGCTCTGGCAGCGGGATAGAGCAGGCCCAGAGAGACCGACAACAAACTAACAGCCTTCATCTTGAATCACGGATGTATGACGAATCCACTATGACTGGCAAGCCACTTGATGGCATGAAAAGTTGGATGAGCATGATAAGCATACATCAACACGATTTGGCATATATAGCAAATTCGTCTTTTGGTGTGCCTTATCGTTGACTGCTTCGTTTTGTTAAGAAAAGGCCCGTTGATATGTTCTGCATCCACATAAAAGCGGGTTACCTGATAAGAAACGGAGAGAGCCGGGGGTTACGGCCGACGGCGCGCTCCGGCACATTGGAATTATTCGGCCTTGAGCAGTCTATGATTTTGATGTTTCGTGCAAGTAATTCCCTACAATGTCCGTGGTGTACAGGATAACTGAAAGAAGTGAACCTCTAGTATAAGTAAGTTCACGTGAGCTAACATCGATTGCAATTGACACGAATCACTCGACAACTATGGTCAGTAGTATGTATAAGATGGTCCGATCCGTAGGCTATAAAATAGTGTAATGCTGTGCTGCAGTGCACCACATCGTCGGGTCGGGTTTGACCAATCAGGGCATCTGGGGGCGTTACCAAGCCTTTCGGTAAAATGTTCTACCTTCTTCTCGAAAGCCGCCGGCGTAACTTCGGGTTAAACGAGCCCAGATCTCCAGTAGTGAGGTTCAACTACCGAGCCGTGGCATGGCGAATGACTCGCGGCAGATAAGGCCGTGCCTATTACATCAAGTGCATTCGTAAGATGTTCCCTGACCACAATACTCCGGCGCTTCCACTTAGAAGAACACCCCTATCAGTCCCATGTGCTGCGTAGTATAGTGGGTATCGGTAGGTAAGGGCGCAACAGATCAGTCATCGTGAAAGAGAGATAACGGTATTCAGTCCGTGTGATCTGGGCCATCACCGATCAAATTAATCAAGCAAGAAAGACTATTCTAAGCAACAATTTTCCCTCCGAATCAAGGTAGAGGCGTGTTGAAACTTGGAGCAAGAATTGGCTGAAGAATTAGTGCTAGCGCTTGCGATTATACTCGAAGAAGCCAGAAATAGCATGCATAGACCCCCACAGAAACTGAAGTATCAGCTCCTGCAATAATTACACGTCGGCCTGTAACTGGGATGGGAACTCGGAGACGAAGTCAATTGGCAAAATAAAGAAAGAAAATTGCCTCAACTAGGTATCTGAGTACCGAAATGTATCTTTTAGGGTCCAGTTTCTGGATCGTTCTGCAAGTTTGATAACGCGTCCATCCTCCATTCATTCGCATATTCACTCCTAACCACATACCTAAAGTGAGAAATGTGAGAGGTATGAAAACCCACAGGAAGAGATTGAAGCCATTGCCCTGATATCGATACGTCTTTGTCATTCCCTCCGAGGCCTCATCGTTCCAGAGAAACACGCCGCTCTGAAAGAACATCTGATCAGAGGTTAGACTCATGAACTTGTCTCCACTTACAAACAGCCTTACAGCAACGAAGGTCCCGGGGAGGAAACTCAAAAGTCACGAGAGTGATGACGTGTATCGACGCGCTCTCGAGATTTGTTCTGTTGGCGAGAATTTGCATTTCACTGGTAGACTTTTGGGCCATCTCTTGGAATCATTGGCCTATCTCTAGTTGCCGATACTGTAGAGAACCATCATGCTATATCCATATCTCAGTCTGAGTGCGTGCCATTGAATGGAGGTGACATATAATACTCACCGAGGTATTCCTTCAATCAAAAGAGCAGTCAGGTGCTCTAGTTGGCATTGACGTCTTTTCAGCCGCTTTGAAGTTGACCGCACCTCTGTGCACAAACTCGATGAGGTCAATTTGGCAATCTGCTCTGACGTGACTGGACGCATCGATATTTGAAACAGTGAGACTGTTACATAATCATGCAAGCGCAAATCTGTGGATGGTTCTTACGGGAAACGTTACCAATCAAAACCTTATCGATCGCCGAGAAGTGCTAGATGGCTTTCGGTTTAACGACGTGCAGACTTGATATATTTTAGCGACAGGTTTCGCAGAGCAATCTTAACATTTGAATTGAATACAAACAAGTGGAAAAAAAGCCTCGCATCCGCCTGTACTTGCATGGAATGTTCATTGAGACCCTCCGCATTGCGTTGAACGCAAAATTCCACCTCGTGAAACAGATCAATCACGGAATTCTACAATTCTTGAAAATGCGATCCGCTCTATGCCCTTTACCCCTCGCATCGCCCATCCCCAAGTCATAGCGTATCGCTCACCTTGGTTGGCAACAATTGTTTCTCTCTTGCTCAATCAGATGGCTGCCACGGTTCGGAAGGAGCAGTCCACTACGCATGCGCAGGCACATTCAGCGCCTCTTTCATTGCTCGTGTGTCTGCCTGAACACGAATTATCAAGCGGAGAACGAAGAAACTGTTACGACAATCGTAACATATTATCAATTACTTACCCGCTTTAGCGCTTTAGGAATGTAGGCGTTATAGCCATCGCTTTTGGGCTGTGATTGCATTTCGTCGATGAGCATTGTCGATTCACTTGGCTACAGCGAGTTGACCAGATCAAGGGGCATTGTACTGTACCTTAACAAGAGGTCTAACTCAGTCCTCTGCAAATCGCCATGCCAACCAGTTTTCAACAACGCCCTTTTTCAAATTATAGTCTTTCACAAAAGCCCTGAGCATGGTTTGCTCGCGAACGGCCTATTCTATTATAAATGACCAAAAGAACTTTCAGCTCCGCCTTAGCTACAATCGAATGCTCTCTGACTGCTTAGCCCGCCTCTCCGCTTCTTCTCACTTAGGACCTGCTGCGCCCAATCGCATATACTCCTTCCGCACGCCCTCGCTATGACTGCACCACATATGCTGTCCGATTCCAATGCAGAGGATGTCTCGCAACCTGCCATTTCTCATATGTGGGCAACGTTCTTTCATCTAAGGTCGCCACGTACATCGTGCTCGAGAAGTCAACCTTGTTCTCATACGACATATTCCTGAGCGCTCGGAATCGATTTTGCGACTCGGGACTGGGGGCTCCAGGCCTCGTCAATCTGTATAGCCTAGAAGACTATGGCGATACCGATAGCTTGGCTACTATAGATGTCGTTGCGGTATCCCTAGTAGGAGCCTGTCGGGGGCGTGCGTCGGAGGATCTGACCTCCGAACAAACCAGGATTGATTTCGAGGCGAAAGGCTGTGCCGTGCCGGATCTGGTCAGTGCAGACACCGGCGCCGCAACTGTGAATGGTAGTTGTGAATGAATGCCGCCTCGTATGATTTCTAGACACGATCCGAGTGCCCTTGGGCTTGGAGGACCTGTCGTGACAGATGATATCGCTAATGCGGACATTGGCGGCCCTGCCGTCAAGGGCAGATGCGCAAGTCCCCTGGATGCCGTGGTATCCAGATACGATTGAAGCGCTGCACGGTCATTCCTGGCTGCACGGCTCTGGATAGCGTGCAGTGCGGCACCGTTGTAACGATGATTGAGCCGGAACATGACGAGCATCTGGGCGTTATTCCTGATGTCCTCTAAAGCTGAGATGCCGCGAATGTCGTATTGATAATAAGCGAGCTTGTATTTGCGCCGGCGGCTCGGGGCACGGCATTCGGTGAACTGCATAGCACGCAATGCCCTGAGCCGTTTATGCGGATATATGCTGCTAGAGCAAATCCCCCGTTGTGCCCATCGGACTCCAGGTCTTCGATCACAGACTGAGATCCGTCACGATAGTAGGTCTTTGTAGAGTATGTCAGGTTATGCAGCTTGATGGCGTTCTCCAGCTCGGTGATGCTGAACACTCGGTCTGGCATGGAAGAACCATACATATCGGCTTCGAAATCGGGAGCATTTTGGTAATGAAGGAGTTTGACCAAGCAAACTCTGACACAGTTGTTGCTGTAACGATGCGGGTTCAAAGCTGGAGGAGGATTGAAATGAAAGGGTGATATGACAGGCGCTGGGAAGACAAGGCTCTGATTCCCTCTATCTGATGATTGGAGGACCGGTTGGCTAACTGAGGTCGATACGTGAACGGGCGGGTCTGAGGATGGATGATTAAATGCTTGAGGTAATGCATTGTGCTATGAATAGAAAGACTCTTGAGGAATAAGAACCTACCCATAATTGCTGATAATGCTTGATTACAAGCCTTTACATGTAGATTATCGGCATGATATAGTGTTCAATGAGGAGGCATTTGGATCGACGACTTGACATGCCCTTTTCGGTACTTGAGCAAGTGTGCGGAAATCTCGCGAAACTTATAGACGCCTCCTGTCTTTCAATGTCTTATTAGCTTCTTTGTCAAATTGACGATTCTCGCCCGGAAAACTCTAGATGCTTCTTTAACTTTCTTCTCCACGGTTCTGCCTGATGTGTCTGCTGACACGGGCTGAACGGATCGGAGCGACTACTCTGCAACTAACAATATCGTGCGTGCCCCCCCCCCAGCGTTTTCTGTTAGCAACTCGTGCCAGATCCCAAGCTTCGTAACGGGGCAAGACAACTTGGAAATCCGGCAGACTTGACTGTAAAGCGTGAAGTCTTAAGGTACCCAATCAAACTAATCCGTCAGTCTTGATAGCATAAGCACTGTACAGGTGGAACTTTGTACTCACCGGTGACAATTATGCAACACTCGAGCTTCCCACAGCTCTTTGTTCGTTTTATAATTCGCCCTCTTTCAAGTCCCGGAGATCAAAAGCTCAACTTGAACATTTTCACGTGAATTAGGAGACTGAACATGATAATAAATGACTGAGTCGAAGTCAAGTTTCATTGTTGCATCTCCTTCCCGGTATACCCTACTAACAGCTCAGTTCTGAAGACTAGCGTACATGTGATCAGATAGCCGACTTTGCGCCTTGGGATTGCACGCGAGCCTCCTGATAACTCACCAACTTTCCAAGTGACCTTGCGATAAGCCTTCCCATCCCGCGAGCGAGTAGCCGACAGGACCAGCACAAACAAACAGAAGATGCATTTGGGAAAACGAGCAGGGCCAAGAAAGCCATCACCGATGAGAATCATGAGAGCCAATTATCTGCC